ATGTGTGGGCAGGGCCCAGTCGCAGAAACCCCTGGAGTGTGCATGTTGGGGAGGTACTGTAGAGGCCGTGCTGTGGTCAGTTGGGTGAGGTCACATGATCATACAGAAGCCCGACTTGGTGTGTCTCCTCTGATGGTTTCTGCTGGGGGTTTCCCTGGGCTGTTTGGGGGACCTGAAGGAGGCAGAGAGGGGCTTTCCCAGTGGGAGTGACTGGGGAGAGAACAGAAGGAAACTTACTCTAGTTCCAGCTCCTGTTACCCTCTCTGGCCCTTACCTCTGCTGGTGGGCTCCAAGGCAGGAGGGAGGAGGCTTAAGCCTCATGTTGTTCCCCCATTTAGCAGGACTCCCCCTTTCTCTGAGGCTGACACTCAGGCTGTGCAGGAGACAGGGGACACCATGGGCCTCCAGAGCTGGGTGAAGGTTGTTCACACTGCTGAAGGGTGAAGACAGAGGCTCTCAAAGCAGTGTATCCCCAGGCTTCAGACCATGTGTCCCACCAACTTTAACACTGATCATGGTACATTAAAATCATCCAAAGCCACATCTACTTCTGTCATCCATTTTCTAGGCTTCCTCCCTTCCCCCAGAGACCTACCTATTGGCTTGGGGGCCATTGGGTACTAGAATGCCAGGGTTCTCCATTCTGAGGGGACCTTGTTCTCCAAGTGGGAGATGGGCCCTGGGACCTGGACCTGGAATGGAGAGGGACACGTTCATCACTAGTCTCTGTACCAAGAATCATGGTGGAAGAGAGACATCTTCAGAAGAACAAGGAAGGGTGGGTGTCGGGATGTGTTGGTCACTGTACTACAAGTTAGGAGAGACTCGGATGTGGAGAGGAAGAGGCAATTTAGGGAAGGGTTTAGGGGAAATTGGCCAGGGCCTTGAGAAACAAGCAGAAAGGGGAGAGGGGCTGGTCCTGGGGTTCTTTGTGAAGGAGATGCACAGCTGGAAACAGCCCACTTAGACTCACACTCTCGTCTTGATGCCCATAATGTGGGAACATTAACCATCTCCTCTTCCTCTTTCTCCTCATGGCCCTCTGACTCTTCTTCCCATCCACCTGAAGATCTGTAGGGCCAGGGAACAGGGGACAGAGTGGTTCCCTGGCCAGGTCCCCTCCTCCCCAGGTCCCTCCCACTGCCAGGCTGCAACACCTCCCCATACCCTCCAGAGGCCCCATCCATGCTATAAGCTCGGCTCCTGCCCTACTCACCTGTGCTGCATTTCTGTGCCCCTTCCCACCCTGGCTGGGGTACCTGCTACTGGGCGGGCCCTACCTGGAGCCTGGGACCCGCTTCGAGCTGAGGTCTGGGAATGAAGGGGAAAAGGAAGTCAGTCGTGGCCCCAGAAAGACAGAAGTACTAGAGGCAAACGTGGGTATGCCACGTGTCTGAGGGTGAAATTACAGGGTGAGGCCCTTTGTTTTGTTGCAGTCTCTGCTAGCAACTTGTCTACCACGTCATCATTCCCTAGGCCTCCAGGGGCAAAGTCAGAAAATTCATTTTGCCTGCAAATTGTAAATATGGTGTCCTAG